TAATAATTTATTTATTTATAGTTATGATGTTTTTAAAAAATTTGACCTTAAAAATGTTTCATTTAAAATATAAAGTTTATGTTATTTTGATAGAATGGCATAAATTCAGGATATTACTTCAGTCAAATAATTTTTTTTAAAAAAAAGATTAAACCGCGGGGTGTCAAAGAAAACTTTTCACCCAAAAAAAAAGGGATCAGTCATGAAGAGCAACATATACAAAACCAATTTATTCGTTACTCATTTACAATACACAACAAATCGAAACCATTTTACACTGTTTTATCTGATTTTTATTCTTTTATTTTATTTTACGGGATTTAGAAATAATGAGAGTCAAAGTTGATTTTATAAAAAATATCAGACCAATTTGCCCAAAGAGCGTTTTAACCAAAAATTTGTATACAAATATTTTTATACACATCAGTGCTTTTTTCTATTGCAAATATTATCTGTGAAGAAACTTATTACACATCATTTACCATTTTAATACCGAAATCTATAAAAAGAAAATATGCTCTCTATAAAAAAAAAAACAGTAGTGTTAAAATATACATATATCGAAAAGGCTAAAACTTTTAAATAATACATATACCTATGCGTGCAAAAAAGTTCATAACAAACTATCCTTTTATCTTTAGCTATGTTTTAAAAGAAATTTTTACATCAACATTTAACCCATATATACTATATATTAGTATAATCAGTGGGTAAGCAAGACCTCTACATAAACGGTAGACGTTAAGTGGTCTATTGTTATCTGTCCCTGCTCTGTGAAAGCCATTATTTTGAAATGTATCACTACAATAAACTATAGAGACGTTTTCTGTTTTAATTGATGGAATGTTTTCTTTTATGTTGAAAATCCTACAAGCTCAGGTTTCTGGGCTTTTATCTATCTAGTTTTATAAATGTGTTAAAATCCATTACTTGCTATATTTACTGTAAATTCAATTTATGCTTTGGAATGTTCTTACAACTCATGGTAAAATTTACATATTATTTTGCACTCCTAAGTAAAAAAAACACACAAAAATCGTAGCTTTTACTACATAAGCGTTCACAATATTAAAAACATATTAGCGAGTTTTAATTTGCTATATATATTCTTTGCTTTAACATTGCTGATATCTTTGGGGATATCAATTTAAACTAATTTATAATAAGAATGTCAAATATCAGTTTACTTGTGACCTGTAAACATTTTATTTTATATATCTATGGTATCTACTAGTGCTGTTCACATTATTCGAAGTTTTTAAAAATTCGAAGTTCTTCGAATATTCGAATATTCGCATTTCAACGAAGTCTTCGAAGTTGGAAAAAACTTCGAAGTTTTTGTGAATTTTTGTTCTCGAAGTCTTCGAAGTTTAAATGTAGTGAAAAACTTCGAAGACTTCGTAAGCAAAAGGTGAAGTGAGAGCGCACAATGCAAACAAACGTGCATCACACAAATTATTTGAGGGATGAAAGCGTTTGCTTTGTTTGTACGGTTTTATGTTTTTTGTTGTTATTCTATGCAGAAAATTAAAAACATGTTTTTTTGTTTTATTTTATTACATAAAATTTATTTTATTATTTTATTATTAAATATGTATTATAATATATATTATTTTTAAATATGTTATTATTAAATATTTTTTATATTAAATAAAAAATTCACATTTTAAATAACTTATATTTATTATTTATATTTAAAAAATTATATATTTATGAAAATTTTTAATATAATATAAAATACATGAAAATTTGATGGAATTTCTTTTATACAATTTTGCTTATACACTAATTTACATTTTATTTAGATACTTCCTTATAATATTATGTATTTCTTTTCCTAGAATAAGGGATTTAAAAATTTTCCATAAACAGTAAAAAAACTGTAACTACAACAAAACATTCAAAATTTTATAATGCAAAAATAAATTTGCGCTTACCTGCGTGATCATCACAGCTCATACAGGTCAAATAATTAGGCATTAATGAGCAAAACTCATTTTTCCATAACTAATTTTCAAGGTTTTAATTTGTGATTTTCTTTTTAAAGGAAAATGAAAATTTTTATAAAATTCCATTACTAATAAAATCCATCAATATCAATATTTTCATATTATTACGTATATATTTTATATTATATTAAAAATTTTCTCAAATATGATTTTTTAAATATAAATAATAAATATAAGTTATTTAAAATGTAAATTTTTTATTTAATATAAATAATATTTAATAATAACATATTTAATAATAATATATATTATAATACATATTTAATAATAAAATAAATTTTATGTAATAAAATAAAACAAAAAAACATGTTTTTAATTTTCTGCATAGAATAACAACAAAAAACATAAAACCGTACAAACAAAGCAAACGCTTTCATCCCTCAAATAATTTGTGTGATGCACGTTTGTTTGCATTGTGCGTTCTCACTTCACTTTTTGCTTACGAAGTCTTCGAAGTCTTCGAAGTTTTTCACTACATTTAAACTTCGAAGACTTCGAGAATAAAAATTCACAAAAACTTCGAAGTTTTTTTCAACTTCGAAGACTTCGTTTACTATTCGAATATTCGAATTTCTTCGAATACTTCGTAAATTCGAATATGAACAGCACTAGTATCTACTTGAACTTTTATTAATATTTGTTAGGCTGGAACATTAGCTGTTCGTGACATTGTGTCTATTGATAAAAGTATCTTGTCACATCGGTATTACTGATTTTTGTCACTTCAACTGTATCAAGAAAAGTTTTCGTCTTTTTCAGATCGTTGTCTGACCACTCTGATATGAGAATCAATTCTTCGTGGTAAATTCTCTCCTATATTGTATAAAAGCAGGAAATTTTCCAAGGATATGTAAGGATGTTTCTGTATCTTTCACACATGCTATTAACATTAATATCATCATCAGTTAAAAAATATTGCTCAATCGATTTATTGAAAAATTTCCACCGTACAAAATGCCAAGTTTGTACTTTAATCTTTCTCTATTAATTTATATTATTTAGTTAAAAATTCAACGAAATTCAAAATTCACCAGTATTAAGTATATTTTGAGCAAATCTGTAATCTGAAACTCTTCGATAAAAAAAATTCTGATTTTAATTAAGCAGACAAAATATCTTTTTTACGACTGTGAATTTAAATTGATCTTATATGTTTATCATACTTCTACACTCAATTGCCTCTGTGCCAAATTTTTTTTTAGTTTAACCTCTTGATGTAATTATCTCAAACCATTTTTTTTTTAATATTATTGTTTTTAATTAAGTTGAAAAAACTGAAAAGTAAGTAATCTCGAAAAACTGAAAAGTTTCTTTTCAAGTAATGACACACTTAAATGGCGATGTTTACAACTGGATGTGATAGATATTGCTTTTGAAACCCTTTCTTTAGGATCACATTTTGACTGCTCTCCTAATATTTTATTTTAAGCTTGAAACTTAAGCTTGTTAAGAGATAATTGGACGAAACACTTATTACAGTGTATGACTGACACTACTTAGGGTTTAGACACTAACTCTCGTTTCATTAAGCAAGGAAGATAAATAAAATTGTATTTGTATGAATTTAATTTTTTTTTTAAATTGAAATGATAACTCCTATCTCCAAAAATTTTGTCCAATATTAAAATATTACATATTATTTTTTTATTTTTTATTACTTTTTATTATCTTTATTATTTGTCAAATAACTCCCGGGTTATTAGGGATTTATACCCTATATATCGTATCTAGAGAAGTTAATTAGCAAAATAAATTATGTTATTTTAAACTAAATATTTGATTAATAAGTATGAGTTAATAATAATAGTTAAATTGTTTAAAAGATAAAAAATAGTCGCACCCCTTATATAATAAATAAACATTTTTAAGAGAATATAGACGTACCCATTTAGAATAAAACAAAAAAAATTAATAGGTTTTTTTCTATAATAATTTTTTGTTTAGTTTATTGATATTATGCAACTAGTATTTTAATTTGTAGACTATAGTGACAACTCTTGCAAGTTAATATATAAATTCTTCTTTTTATCGTCCAATCAAAAATTTTTCTTTTTGTGATTATGACGAGATAGTGCATGTAGTTATGTGCAATATCTAACTTACGAACATTTCAACTTAAACCACATAGTCTAGTATACATTTTCGATTATAAACTTTTTCATTCTAATGCATAGTCTAGTGTAAAGTAGTGCTTGCTAAACTATATTTTATATATGCACACTCTTCTCTGTCCGATTAGCATTTTAGCAAAAATCTGTTTTACAGGCTAAGTGTGACAACTATATTATGTGGTGAGGCTTTACGTATCTTATGATGGTTTGAACCACTTTTATTATTATTATATATAGTTGCTGTAGCAAAGAGCTATATTAGCAGAGCAGCTTTGTGATGACATTAATAATCATCTAAATTAGATTAAATCCATATAATTGTTTTTTTTTTCTGTTATTAGCATATGATATAGTAATATAGCATTGATCCAGTAAAAAGATGAGACAAAATCGTTTACATATGCAAGTCTGATTTATAAAACGATGGGATCAAGCATTAACTACCAAGTAAGAAAAGAACAGTTTATTAATATCAAATTTCGAAATACTTTGTTCATTTTGAAATGTTGCGTAAGACATATACTTTACCGGAAACGAACCAAATGAACTCTATAAATATATTTAGGCAACGATCATACAAATACAACACAACAAAAAAAAAAAACTCTGCGATAGTCCATATATTTTTTATTCCACAGAAATGCCATTTTTCGCAATTCAGCCATTTTTTTTTTGTAACTTTGAAAAATTTATTTTATAGAAATTATTTTTAATAAAATTTATAGAAATTTTTTAGTTCACAGTAAGCCAACAGCTAATCTATATTATATATTATATATTAATTTGTTTATGTGTCACTATACATATTTTTATTATGTTTTATATGCAAATTCTATTATAATTTTTCGATTTTTAAAATTGTTTTTTAAATGTTTTGCAGTTTTCGTCGCTACGCAAAAAACGCGCATAGAATTATTCACATACCTACAAGTCTGGTGTTAACATAAACTTACGCTGGAGGCACGTACTGTTGCATTTCGTAATAATTTCGCTGGTGGACTCGATTACAGTCACCATCAGCACATACCACTGATGGCCGAAATACCAGCGCCAACGACAGATTACTTGCATCGTTCTATAGACCAATTACGTTCGATGAATGAACGTGGTGTGCTCTCATCGCTGAGTCATTTGACCACAGCTGATTTGCGTACAGCGCAACTTGTACACGATTATAAGCCATTCAATATAAATGAGTTTCGACAAAATGTTGAACGACTCGATTACTCCATTAAAAATGGTTTAGTAGGTGTAAATTTACAACAGCAACATCATCAACAACAGCAACATCTTGTTGAGCAATTAAATCAACAGCAGCAACAGCAACAACAACAACAACAGCAGCAGCAGCAACAAGCTCATGAACAACAGCAACAACAACAACAGCAGCAGCAACAAGCACATGAACAACAGCAACAACAGCAGCAACAGCAGCATTTACAGCAACATCAATTAAAGCAATCCTATAGTCCGCCAAATTCACCGCCTACGCCTACTATGACAGAGCAGCCGGAACAAAAGGTAAGTACTTGTACAAGCAATCAGAAAAAAATAGTAGAAATGCTTCTTCATACTTTTTAAGGCTTAACAAACATAGTACATATTTTAAATATTTTTGAATATTATTTGAATTGAATTTTATATATCATTTCTTTAGCGCTTTAAAGACTATTTCCTAACAACAGTTATTCTTCTCTTCTGCACTTTTTATTTTAGTATGATCCGAATTCTGTTAAACAAGCACGAAATCAAAATTCCACCTCACCGGAAGGTCGGGAAGCTAAACCCTATAAATGTACGCAATGTTCGAAAACATTTGCGAATTCTTCTTACCTCTCCCAGCACACACGCATACATTTAGGCATAAAACCATATCGCTGTGAGATCTGCCAACGGAAATTCACACAATTGTCACACCTGCAACAGCACATACGTACGCATACCGGCGACAAACCATACAAATGTCGTCATACAGGTTGTCCTAAAGCTTTTTCCCAACTCTCAAATCTGCAATCACATTCACGTTGTCACCAAACCGACAAACCCTTCAAATGTAATTCTTGTTACAAATGCTTTAGCGACGAAATGACATTACTGGAACACATACCGAAGCACAAAGATTCGAAACATCTCAAGACGCACATTTGTAATTTGTGTGGCAAATCATATACACAGGAAACATATCTGCAAAAACATCTACAGAAACATGCCGAAAAAGCGGAGAAGCAACAACAACGCCATTCAAATAATAGCGTGCAACACCATGTGCCAGCTGGGGGTATTGGTCTCAATTTACAGCGACAAGTGGTAATGAATGCGGCAGCAGCTGCCAATGATGCGAATGCAGCATATTGGGCGAAAGTAGGAGCGGAAGGTGGAGCAGTCAATGCAGCTACCTTAGCAGAAGCTATACAGCAGCAACAACAAGCACAACAACAACAGGCACAAAATTATAATTTCGCCTCGCTACAGCAACAACAACAGCAGGAGCTGCTACAACATCATCAGCGTTTAGTAAATGGTGCAAGTGGTGGCGACAGTGGTAGTGGGAGCACGCCCAATCACTCACAGAGCCCAGATGAGGGTGAAGATTTAGTAATGCGTCAAACACCGCAACATCATTTGCAACAACAGCAACAACAATCGCCAAATAATCTTGTTGTTGTAAATAATTCTCCTGGTAACCCAAATTATGACATCAAAACCACCTCAGCCTTCACACCCATTAACACGGGATCACCACATTTGAACGCTTTGGCAGCACAACAACGTCCTCCAGCAGCGGCACCGTACCTTTATCAACAAAATGCAGCAGCATCTCCTTTTCCAACGCAACTGATATCATTGCATCAAATACGTAACTATGTACATCAACCGGGGGCGGCAGCAGCAGCTGGATTATTGGCTGGCGATCACTTGCTCGGCTTGAGCGTGGCGGCTGGCGGTGCTGGTAAAGATAAAGGACAATAGTATCGAAAAAAGCAGAGAACGAAGAAGCATAGCAACACATGATAATAGATGTAGAATTTGATTTTCATACATACGTAAGTTCAAATTTAAGAGGTGGTAAAATAATATTTTATTTAAACGCATTTGTAAGGTTCAAAATTTTAGGGATTTAGGCTTAAAGTTAGTGTAAAGAAGAAATATACATATATTTACATATACAAGTATATACGAAAATTTTAGGGCATCTCAGGTTAAATATAGTATAGTTGGTAAGATTTATAGTTAATATATATTTAAGATATATAAATAAATTTTTAATAATTAATTGAGAATAGTATCATATAACAATATGAAATAGAAGTAATAACAATATTTCGCCTAAGAGTAATAAGATAAAATTTGTATCTGGATACTTAATACTGATGCTGTACAGAGTACTGCATTTAGTTTTTGAATAGGTTTTAAATTAAGCGATGCTAATAACTTATAACGACATATAAAAACAAATAATAAGATATAATGAAAAAAAATTTAATTTACTATTTTTGACAAAAATTTCACTTAAAGCTTTTTCGAAATGTTAACGTACATATACTTTTGTCGAACGCTTAGACCTATTACTAAAGAAAATACAAAGAAAAAGGTATTGTGAAAGAAAATAATATTTAATATAAGTTAAAAGGAAATCAAAGTACTTTCAATCTACAGCATTACTTTTTGTCCATGCAAACCATTACATAAAAAAAATTATACCAATTTATAAATAAAACACAGTTTCTTGAGATAATAGAATCAATAAAAATAATATATATTTTTTTGTTGTAGTTTACTAGTTAGGGCCATGTTAAGCAGGTAGTCATATGACAAATGGTAACGGCAATTTTGCACTCTATTTGGTCATGGCCAAAAGGCATTTTAAGCAGAGACTCTATTTTGATATGTTTTTTTGTATATGATTTGAAAAAATATTAGTTTTTATGTCGATACCCATACAAAAAATACACATATTTACTTCTAATAGATGCAAATTCTGAAATTTTTTTTACTAACGGCCATGTTATGTACAGTGTCACAGGCACATTATGAGCAAAATTGTTGTTGTTTTCAATGCAAATTATAAAATTTCAAATTTCGGCATTAAAACTGAGGCTAACAACCTATTTTATTATAAGAAAATATATTAATGAATTAATATTTTTACAGCCTCTGAGTTTTCGCTGATTATTTTTAGTAGTATCTACATTTCCTTTGTAATTAAGGCACAATGAGAAAGTATAAAAATAATAGTAAAAATACAAAATTGATAATACTGATGTGACACTCTACATTTTCATGATAGCCCAAAAGAGCCAATTTTGTCGTGCCGGTGACACTCTATATAACATGGCCCTAAGCCACATTGTTTTGATCAACATGACTTCGCACACAAAGACTCTCTCGCTCTCTCTCTCTCTCACACATTTTCAATTGTTTAATTTATATTGAAAAAAACAACAATTGCAATTTTGACGTGCCCATGACTCTCTGTTTAAAATGACTCTAAAGATGCGTACATGTATCTTATAACTCTAACACTATATCTTTCCTAATTATCTTTATTTTATTAAGTAATCGATAAAACTAACATTATTTTAAATTGAATGATTTTTCATACATCGATTTTTTTCAAATACTTAAATTCAGTCCTTCGGATCACAAGTATTATTATTCATATAATATTTTTATTATTATTTCAATACATTTAGAAATATAATTTTCTGAATAATGAACAAATTATAAGAATATTATGTTTTTAAAACATTGTCATAATAATTTACTTATTTTAGATTCTTTTACTTGATTTTATTGCTTGAAACTGATATTGTCTATCTTTAATAAAATGAGAAAAGAAAATAATTACAGGCTATATATAGAAGGGTTCAGCACTAAAAAAAAATTATCACACTCAGACTTCAATTAGTCGATTTACTTCCAGACTTAATTTCCATTCGATGAATATAATCACACCTTCACTTCGTTTTTATAGGTCATGTTGTTGGATTTAATGGTTCAAACATTTCGTAAAAGCTTTACTTTATGTACACTTAACAATTTACACTTATTTAATTTTTAATTATTATTAATTACACAATTCAATCTTTAATTAAAATTTTATTGTTTAATTGGTATGTTATTAAAATAGATGTAGTTACTGCAAATTTAAAAAATGTTCAAGGGGAATAATTATAATGATGAACTAATGATGAACACAAGCGAAATTTGCAAAAGAGCTATAATGAAGAGATTAAAATAGCAATAATTTCTAGGAAATATATTATTACGATATTTCAAAGAAAAATTCGTACAAAAATAAAAAATAAAACCTGTTAAAAAGCAACAAAATTTTAAACTCCATAAAAAGGTTAGGTTAATAGCAATCATTGTCGCTAATACACAAAAATAAAAATTAAGAAATATCATAATGATGGGAATTTATATATATACTTATATTTATAATAAAAAAGGAAATTATTATTATTTTAAAGGTATGTAATATAAGTTATAGTTAAGTATATATTAAGAAGAAAAAAACTAAAAAAAATAAGAGATATACATATGTAATAATCAGAAAAAAAATCTTCTATTATTTTATTTTTACAATGTTTTAATTTATAATTATGACAACAAAATCAAGTTTTTATAAAAAGATTTTATCCTAATAATGTACATAAGACCTGCTTTAGTTAAGTACTCCATCGAATTATCTTCCATTTATATTTATATAATATTAAGTTAAAAAGATTGTTTTTAAATAATTAACTACAAAATTATTATGCTGTATTTACTTTATTATTTAAACATCTTTATTTTTAGTATATATATATTTTTTTTGTTTTATTTTTATGTATGTAAACTTTGTTTTTAAATCGCACTAAGAGAAACGAACTTAAAAATTTAACACACTTTTAAGATAGGAAGATCGTTCAACTTAATCTATAACTGGTAACATCTCCAATATAGTTGTATTAGCAATACGCAATAGCCAAATAGACTACAGCTTTAAATTTTCAAAACATTTTCTAAATTGCTTTTACTATAATATCTATTTTTCGATATATGATTTACTCGAATAGAGGATTAATTGTTAATTTTGTATAACAATAACTCAATAGAAATTTAAACTTATATACAGAATAGGGGTTTCGAATGAATAGTGTTTACTGAACCCTCTTCTATATCAACAACACCAAAATTATTTTTGCCGATGAAGGAAATTTACATAGAACTTTATAATGTTCAGTTTCGGATATTAAAATATCGTAAAATTTTGAATATTTTATAAATATATTGATACGATAGTAGGCTAAACCAAATTACTGGAACAAATCATATAAAAATCAGAAAACCTCAGTTAATAAAAGTAGTCTTATATTAATATTAGAAATAACAAAATAATAAAAACTGAAGAGGAAAAGAAGAAAATTTAGAATGCATAAAACTATATTTGAATTTAGGTCAGTTTTAACTGTGATACCACAAAATATATTTCATTTGTTATATCGTAGTTATTATCCGGAGTTATTATCCAAAATTATCAATTTTGGGTTTTTGCTCCGGAAAAAAATATAATTTTTTTTAATTCGGTCCCGATTTCTGTGGTACAAATAAGTTTTTTCGTCATAATTAAAATCATTTTATTATTTCGAAAAAGTCAATTGTAGAGGTAATGAATTTATTCATTACTCATCATACTTAGATATATATGTACAACTATATCAAGTAAACTAGTACAAAGCTTTTTTATAGAAACCACCGAATTTAAATTAAAATATATTTTAGTATATATATAATTCTTTATCGGTTATATTCATTACACAGTTCGTATAAATCCAAGTTTTGAAATTGAAAAGATAAAAAAAAAACAAAGTTCAGCAACTATATTTTTGGTTTTTTCATTTAACAGAATTTTGAATAAGAAACCTCATTTGCAGGTCAGCAGCAACTTTGATGCTAATGTTTTTTTTTGCACTATGTTGAGTTTGGTATTTTCGACAGGATCACTGTTGTGTTTCTTCACCTCACGTGGTGAAATATAATTTAATTGACCATGTGTATGTTTTTCTATTTGCATTCTATGTAGAATATATAAATATTTCGCACTATTCTAGATCATGTTATAAGCATGTCACATTATTATCCTGGATTCAAAACAAATTTAAAATATATGGTTTGTAAAAACTATTGATGTTTGTGAAACTGCGTGTATTGATGAACTATTGTGTCCGAACTTATATATTGTTAATATTGCGAAAATCACTTAACAAATATTTACATTAAATAATTAAGAATTAAATAATTCCGCCTAATCAAATAATCATAAACAATATTTCATTACCTTCTATAAACTTAATGTATATTGCTAATTACTTTTTCATAGCCCGATGAGAATACGTATATAACATAACAGTAAGCAGCACAATAGCTCTTGTTACTGTTCGAAACTACCAAATTATGTTAGTGTTACTGTGAGGACCGTGTTATCCTTTGGATACTATATAATATTATTAGATAGTGTTATCCTTTGGATACTATCTATATTACAAAATATCCAGGTTTTTCTATAGTTTCTGATTTTAGTGCAATATAAATTACAGACTTTACGTATATATACATACTAGATTGCTGAAGGCATCTTCAAGTGTACAATACAAATTGATTTTCTGCTGTTTTGTAGCGTTTCAAAATTGAAATTAATAAAGTAAAGAAAATAGTTTTATTTAAAAATTAAAAATTCTAATTTAAATAAATTTTAAAACCTTTCAACTAAGCACAGTATTTTTTAATATATAAGTTCTCTTAAAACAATTTTTTTTATCTAATAGAAATGTATAATATATATAAAATATATAACATTAAGTTATGTTATGTAAACTTTAGTTTATAATGGTAAAAAGCAACAGATATTTTAGTCGCTTTATTGATAAAAATTTTTCTTTGTAGTAATATGAATTAAGAAAAACTGGTGTATACTATATTATAATATTATTTAGTTTATACAGTATAAAATAGAATGATTTAATCATTGTCGCTACATTTACTCATTTGTAGATGGTAGTGTAAGTACTTGAAGATTTTTTCTACATTTAAGTTTTAATTGCTTTATTTTGAGTTTAACAATATCCTATACTAAATTATTTAAAGAACTACGGCTACTTATCTGTATATTGAATTTCTAAACATAACTTCAACATGAACATGAATAAAAGTTTTTTAATAGATTTTTGT